AGAAGAATGTTTTCACATTCATCTGCTAAAAGTGGAAAGTTTCTCTGTGCTCATTGAACATCTGATTTTAAGGGGCGGGGCCTACCATCGGGATTTGTGGCATTACAAACAAAGTAAGCAACTTGTATAGTGTGATGTAGAAACCAGTGCACATATACTGGCAAGATAGCAAAGAACTTGGTTCATATCCATGATCCCCAGAGAAAGGTTACTACTGATTTTGGTGATCACCTGACCTTTCCTCTAGTGTCTGCTTCTAGTCCTGGCCAAGTTTTCAACTTGTTCCAACAATAATGGAACCAATGAAATTTTGAGGACATGTTAAGTTCTCCGGAACTTCTCCTAAGCAAGGCCCCCCTTTTTCACAGTAGCCATTTTGGAACTGAACTTGATTAGTATCATTGGCAACAGCTGTGTTTATTCTGCTATTACATTTTAAAATGGCTGTTGTGAAAAAGGTCTGTAGCTAAACTGTGAGTATCTTGGGTGTCCCATTCAGCATTATATCATGGGGTGGAATGAACGGTAGAGCTGTAACAGTAACAGATTACTGTAGTACACTAACATTCACATTAGGCCTGGGTATCAATCCTCAGTAGCTGTTGAGTATTGACTGAATTGTGTATGTGATCCAACTATATACACAAAACATTCCAGGACAACCAGGCCTAATAAAAGTCTGCACATGGACCTTTAATTTTGTGTTGATTCTGGCGGCCCCTGTGGACAAAAGTGGTAGTGTTTCTACTGCCTTGTTTCCTTGATTTCAAGGGAATCTGACCCAGTGACAGACATTAAAAACTATATGAAAATAGTCAGTCTTCTCCCTGATGTTTTGTTGTTTGTTCATAACCAGTTAAAAACTCCTTGTAGTAGGTTTAATAACCACTGGGTTGCTAAATAGCTCAGTTCCTCTATTACTTCTTCTAAGTTACTAACTTAAGACACTAATAAAATTAACACCATGCCAAATCTTCTCAGATATCCCTCTGTCCTCTATTTCATATTTAGCTATATGTGCTGCTAGTAGACCAGTCATGCAGCTGCAAAACCATCATACCGTCAGGGAGCACAGTGAGCTGGTTGGCCTTGCTGAATGTGCTCTTGGTGCTGATGTCCATGTTGATGGTGGTGAAGCAGAAGTAGTTCCCAGTGTCATTGGGCTCTGCTTTGGCCACATACAAGTTCCCCGATACCTGGGACACGAACCAGCGGCCATCGTCCTTCTTGATGAAGTTGGGAAATTCGTTGATTAGCCAGCGATAGGAGAGAGCTAAAGAGAGGAAAGGTCGGTGCAAATCATGTTATTTAGCCATCATGCCATCCTGCTAGTGCTCAGATTTCAGTATTAAAACAGTCAGCAGAGTCACCCTTATTTCAAAGGTTAATAACTTCTTATTTAAAACACCGACCTGCTATCCCCCTTTATTACCTGCTGCTGGTTTTATGACAGTTCTCAGTGAAAGAAAACTATATGGAAGTGAAAATAATTTTCCAGCTGACAGCACATTGCATTCTATGGTATTTAACAGTTTCTTTCATTTTCCAGGTGGTTTAAAATACTAAATATCGAGTTGGACTGTTTATTTGCAATGATCAATATGATAGAAATCATAATACAGGGGTTACAATTCAATATACTGCCATATATTGTGATTAAAAAATATATATAATTTCAGGAAAACTGTCATAGAATAAAGAACACGCCACCAAATAAAGTCCCTGTGACATCGAACATCCTAGTCCTCAACATTGCTATGTAGGATTTAGAAGTTCAAACACAAAAATCAATACAGTGCATTTGAGAATTGAGACAATATCACAAAACAAAATATTGCGATACTCGTGTAAAGTGTATCGCTATTTTTTAACACCCCTAATAACTAGTCTGATATGTGTTTGGTTTTCCAGGACACGTAGTAACCTTGCAATACAGTGGATACCTGGGTAATGTGGTGGGGGCTGGCAGGCCAGGAAAGTTCCTATGCCCTCATATGCTGTTTGAGGACTCCTGCTGTCCGGAGGGAAGTCATTGAGGTCTGGAGAAAAAGAGCAAGTAATGGAAAAAAAGATTATTGTAACAGAAGCAGCCATAATAGACAGTTGATAGTAAGTACAGTTGTGGAGATATAGATGTCTTCTATCTCCGCCACAGAGACCCACTCAGGCAGCTCAAACAGGTCAAAAGGTTGAAAGGCCTTATTTTCTCACTCACAGCCAAATTTTAGGTTAGCTGCTCGGCTGATGATGGTGCCACAGCGGTTGATGGCCAGACACTGATAAGAGCCTGTGTCACGAATAGATTCGGGGCTGCTGATCACTAGATTTCCGGCCACCAGGGTGTAGCGCAGGTCCAAACCCAGCGGGACCTCTGTGCCATTCACAAGCCATCTGCAAGACAAACGTATATCAGACGTATATATCACAACTTGTAAACTCGGGTATGTTTTGTGTAACTTCCACAAGGTTTCCCCTGGTTTTTACCGATTTGTCAATTTTAATGGAACTCAGGAGTAGACTTGTAAATTTTCCCAAAGTTCCAGAATGTGACATTAGCTTTGGTCTCAATGAGCTTAATCTTTGTGATGAAGCTCAGTCCTCTTTGAATCAAAGAAGAGACACAACACAGCCTGTGTGTGTGTGTGTGTGCGCGCGCGTGTGTGTGTGTGTATGTTACCCACCTGTAGGAAGCAGCTGGACTGGCTCTGGCCTGACAGCTCAGGGTCACCTTGCCTTCAATCAGGCCCTCTGGGTAAATTAAACTGCTTGGCTGTTCTTCAAACACGGGCCCGCTGTCATGCCCCGATACACACACGTCACCACCTGGAAACAAAATTTTTAACAACACACTAATCACACACAAAACACTGTGCCAGACACTTCCCAATGGTGAGGAACTACAGTTGTGTCCTGACAATTTACAGTCTTTTTCAGTGCTTGAATTGGACCAAAAAAGTTGCCTACCCTAATTCAGCACAACTCTAAACCTAAACACAACATAAGTCTTACCCTAATTCTTTTGATGTTTTTAGTTTTTATTTTAAGTGCTGTTTTCATAGCATTAAGTTACCACAGAGATGCAGTCCCACATCCATTTAGTTAGTACCTCAAAAAACAGTTTTAGAAATACCGGGGTCCAAAAGGTGACTTGCTAGGGGGGCTTTGGGGCATCAAAGTATCAATTAGTTATTTTTAGGCAATTATTTCACAACTTTTATTGTGTTATTGGGAGAAAAAATACTGAGGTCCATACTTTGGTGACCTCAATGGTGGGTACGCCCATACTCTACAGATGTGGCAGTACAGAAGTAAGGGTACTCATGTGGACAAAAAGCAGAAGTGCCAGTACTGATGTGTACTGGACCATTTCAGAAACTGGTCTTTTCTATGTTTTAACCATATTTATCAAGGTTTTGTACTCCCTGACTTCTGACTTACACCCAAGATTTGACAATCTTACCTTGGTCTGTGTAGTTTCCTGTCACTTACTGTGCGTCAAATACGGGTATAGATACAATATATATAAAAATGTACAGTATATATACCATTGCAACAAACATGAATGTGGATAAAAGGAAAGTAAAATATAAATATATATACAACATTTAGGTTTCCACAGAACTATGTAATGATTCTAAATGGATATATGGGTCCAGGATCAAATAGTATTGTTGAAATAGTCTTCATGATGTTCTTCAGTACAGTGTGTTAGTGTGATTGTAAGTGTGAAAAGCTACAGTGTTCCTTTATTCTGTAATGCTTTATGGCCCAAAAAGGAATAACCCTACCCCATAGTCTATGATAACTGGTTTCAAATGCAGGTCTAATGGAAGATGGAAGAAGTGCATTTTTTAAGAGTGTAATCAGGTAAAGTCAGGCAGTTTCAGGATACAAGGATTACAAAATGTAATTGACTAAAATACCACATAAGTACCGCACATTTTCCTTAAGAATATTTCCTTCTGCTTTTTTGTCTCTTTCTTTATCTACATACAAAATTAGACCAGACACCATAAAATGTCCGTTGGTAATTTTAACCATTCCTCAAAAACAAGCATTGTCTAGCACTTACAATGTCAGAGAGCAATCCTTGAACCACTAATAAATTGGTTAAAAAAAACTTTTCTCTGGATGTACCTGGTGGTAGGAGAGATTCTGGTAATGGCTTATGCAACCACTCTACAATACATAGGTTTCCAGAAAGGAGCTGCAGTCTATCTTTCAAGCCAGACGTACAGAGCATTATTGTCTGCAGGAGTAAAACTGACCACAGACACACTGAGGAGACAGCTTAATCATTACACAATACCTTCACTCAGCATGGACACTGCACCAGCAGCAAATGGCATAAAATATACAATGCTACAAACACAGAATGTAAGTTTTCCTTGTTTGATGTAAAGTTGGAAAAGCAGTTCTTGGACTGTTTAAGCTTAGTTTAGCTTAGATATCTACAGTGTTTAAAGTTTTAAAGTGATGGCTGATATATTCCTGAAAGATATCCCTATGCTACAGCTTTGAGGTATCAATATATTGTTATACTCGTTGGTTTCATTTATGTGTTTGAGTACAAGTATGATGCTTTGGAAATAATTGAGAATTTAATAAATTTTTCTTTGAACTTAAGAGCAGATAAGCTGAGAAAAAAAAATCTAAGTCACATTCAGTGTGGGTGACAAAATTATGCATTTCAGTGGCATATCAGGACATTTCAGAAATTCTGCTGGGACTGCCCAAGGCCCAGTAACAATGAGTTTTTAACCTGAGTTGTATTTCTGTTGAAGGATGGAGGAGGACAGAAGGAAAGGGTGAGAGTAAATCTGTTCTCTCAACACTAAACAAACAACACTAAAATTCTTGTTCTTGAATCTGTATAATTTTTCTGTCAAAAGTTGGCAAAAGTGAACTCTGCACAACCCTGCAGGAAGCCATATTTCTGGATTCTGCTCTTGGTCAAACAGACCTGCAGCTATGTTGCAGCTACCATCCATGTCACAAACAGGGAGCAGAGGAGACATATAGGTGGAGACAGCAATGTAACATGGTCTCTGCCCAAATGGCTGATGCACAAAAATGTCAAGACAGTTCAAAATAAGAAACTACAGGGATGCAGGGTTTCTGCAGACACAGACACAACTACACAATTCTAGTGGGTTTGATTGAGAAGAATTGTTTTTGTATGAGTCTGGAAGTTATTTATTCCGTGTTTTGAATCATTCAGAATCATTACCACTTTTTGACGACCTCGGCCTGAACTAACAACTACAAGTCGTGTGTAAAGTGTGTAAAATCTTCGGGGGGACAGGCTAATAGTATTTTTAATACAGGTGGATGGTAAACTTTTGGTCTTTTCAGTACTTTCTGCAAGTATATTCTGCAGTGTGTGAATGTTCTTTGAGCAGATGGTGAGTTAAACTATGTACACTTGCACAGACTAACTGTTAGGTATAATGTGTATTGATTTTAATGGGCAGCCACAATTTGAAAGAAACTTCTTTCTTCCCTCAAATATTGCATCTGGCTTTTTGCCAGAGGGCAAAAAAGCAACTTCCAAGACCTTGTGAGTGTGTACAGAGCAATGTTTTTTCCAGTGTGTGTATATATAGCTTTGTCAGAGCACACATACACACACGCTAAAATATCTGTGATAGAACACTGACTAACTTGTTAACTTTAGTTAGACACTATGTCACCTCAGTAGTGCAGCTTGATGATGGCTACAGCTGCTACAGCAATAATTTGAAGCCTTACCCGGCTTCACTGCATCCACGTATCAGTTCATGTTGTGCAGATATTAATTTAAACAGTGCGGACAGATTCCACATTTATGTCTGTGTGAGCATTCATATTATTGAGCTTACCACTGATTACAATGAACAGCATTATTGTCTGCATTGTATTGTGAGCCCGGGGGTACTGAGCATGCGTTAAGTGCACCCTTCACCACAGAGGTTGTTAATTCCAACAAAAACTCAACACGATAACCATTTATCATTCATCACATTGGTGTATTTCAATGCTAAGGCCCGATGGAGAAAAAGGAAAAGGGTCTTCTTGAAGAAAATGTAATCCCGTCCACCCGCTGTCTAAAACCACAGCCATGAAATTTTAAACAGGCCCTAAAGGCCCCCAGATTTACCACACCCACACATTTAACTCATTCTCTGTCTCTCTCTCTCTGTCTAGTTCTGTGAACTGTGTTGAGATTCAAAATATAATGTTTTAAATCTCATATAACCTTTAAAGAAAGAATAAAAAAGGTCAGAACTAACAGAACTGTGATTTTTTGAACAAGTGAATCTAAACCTGTTTGTTCAACAAGCTGAGATGCAACACAATACACGTGTTTCCTCAACGAAAGAGACATTAGAAAGAAAGCTAATGTGGGTCTCAACTCAAGGTCAATGTGTTGAGATGTGTCTCATCTCTGACCATCATTTAATGATTTGACTGGTTACATGCAAAGGTGTTTTACTTTTAGTCCCAATCTAAACCCCAAGTTCCAATCTTAAACTACCCTTAACTACCCTTTAACTCTTTCTTGGGTTAAAACTAAACCTGGTTCTGATGTTAATCATCAACACCAACATTTACTCTTACTTTGTGTATTACAGTGGAACTTACCAGCAGCTTCCTTCAGGGCCACTGAGTTGAGGACAAGCAGCCACAGTAAGCGCTTCATCATCTGGATCCAGCTGGATTACAGCAGGATAACAAACAGATCAGGAGCAGATGGAATCAAAACCTGTTCTCACAGAAAGAAGAGGCATCCAATCCGGGTCTGTTCAGAAAAAAGAAAAAGATTGCTTACATGAACAAAATATCTCTATGGAGGAATTGAATTAATTAGCTTAAAGACATTTAAACAATTCGCCATGTCTTCTTTATTAAGAAGATTTATATGCCCTTTATATGCCCTAATAATTTAATAACCTACCTATGTTCATAGTAACATACATGCATACAGGTGCAGTGTGTAGGATTTAAAGAAAACATACCTATGATTATTATATTCAATTTCTAACAATAGATCCTCCTAAATGTTACACACTGAACCTTTAAAATTGCGAGTAAAGATTAGGGTACACCAGGGGGAAGCATCCCATAATTAAGCATACGGTAGGCCAGCAACATTGGGGTGGCTGTGGCTCAGAGGCCAGAGCGGGTTGTCCCCCAATCGGAAGGTTGTTGGTTCGATCCCGGCTCCTCCTGCCACGTGTTGAAGTATCCTTGAGCAAGACACTAAATCCCAAATTGCTCCCGATGCCATAGGCATCGGTGTCGTGAATGTGTATGAATGAGTTAGTTTCTGTTCGATGGACTTTGTCATCGCTGTGTGAATGTCTGTGAAAGGGTGAATGGTGGCACGTAGTGTAAAAGTGCTTTGAGTGGTCGGAAGACTAGAAAGGCGCTATACAAGTACAGGTCCATTTTTTATTTATTTTTTTCATTGGTGGTAAACGCGAAGAATTCAGTCCATGCACTATTAAATTCACTAAGACATTTCTTTTTTTTAAACTCAAGACTAGTAGCCACTACTATTAGAGGTTTGGCAAAGTCAAAATTTTTTGAAAAAATATAGATGTAATCATTCCCGAAATCCACAGCATATTTTCATCTAATGAAACATTCTGCTTCAGTCCATACCTGTTGAAGTTCAACCTTTCAAAAACAACATTTTCACAACAGTCAAATAAATAGTTTGCACTCCTACTTGGGAGGCAAACACCTGTAATTAATCAATGAATCATTTTTTTTTTCAAAAAGAGGATTATTTTCAATAGAAATTATTGTGAAAAAATGTTGTGTACAGCCCTAGACTGTTGTCTAGGGCTTAATACATATATGCAACTATCAGTCTTGCTACCTCCACCTTGCACCAGAACTTGATAATAGGGCTGTGTATTGGCAAGAATCCAGCGATTAGATACGCATCACGATACAGGGGTTACGATTCAATATATTGTGACACTAACTTTAAGAAAACTAATTTAAACACAAAATCTATAGTGTTTTTGAGAATGGATACAATATCAAAAAAAAAATAAAACTAAAATACTTGATATTTTCCTACAACCCTACTAAATCAAACCTTTCAAACTGGTCTCTAAATACATTTGTTAAGATTAGACAGAGAAATTAAACTCATCTTTTTATTTTGCTTATAATTTAAAATATGAGGTATTAAATTGTGGTCAAGTTCTCATTGTAAAACTTTACTCAAAGATCTGAATGCAAACTGAGGACACTAAGAGAACAAAAACAATGCTAAGAAGAGATGAAGAGCTGAGGAGAATGATGCACTAATGCTACAGCTAAAGAAGGTGCAGATTTGAACATGAATTTATGTCATACAATCCCGCCTTTAGAGTTACCACCACAAAGTCACTTTTTCTCTGCCTCAAGACATATTTAGAGTTAGTAAGGAAAGCGATAAAATGAAAATATTCTATGTGTGATGTAGCAACACAACACACCACTGCATTTATTATTTTCTTCGGGGGAAAAAGTTCCCCTCACAGTCAGTTTTTCAGCAGCAAAACCTTCCTGAAGACGAATGAAAAACAGAACCATTTCCCTTCTGAATTCCTGTCAAGCTGTAGTTTCTTTCAGCTCTGGACATTTACTTGTGATAGCAGACAGAATCTCTGTGGCCAATCCCCGTGGGCTAAGTGTAAGCCTGGATCAGACGGGGCCTGATTTGCTGTCCTCCCAGTGCCCACCTATCTGTTTTCTCTGTCTGTGTCTAATAGGAAGCAGAAACACAGCCTGGGATAACAGTAAGAAAGCAGCTCTTGCCTTTGGAGAAGGTTGCCCCCGAGCAGTCCTCCAGCTTCACTACCTGCTAATAAAAGTCTCAGGTTTGTCTGCTTTAGTGTGGAGAAAAATATGAAAACAGTGGTACTTTTCCTTAAGGCTGGTTCGAACATCACTGACTAATAGTATCACAGCAGCCATGTTGACTGAAGTGGCCTGAGTGTCCTGTCCACCACTGAGAAACTCATCTAATGCTAATCTAATACTCGCTAATAAAATAAAATACACAAAATGTATTGAATGTATATTCGACTAAAAAACTACACCTACAACGGAGCCAATGGTGATCTGACCGGCAGGGTAATCAACAAACATAGTGTACTGCTTCAAAGCTTTTTTTAAGACATCTGAAGATGCTGCTTAGCTGTCCTCATCTCACAACATTGAGGTGCTGAGGGACACTTAAAGACAGCAGAAGCAATAAAAACCCAAAATGGCTCCTCACATTCACAATTAAACTGTGGGACACACTTGGTATCAGTCAACAATGCGTCTCTCTCTCTCTCTCTCTGTCACCTTCATGCTCCATAAAGGAGTACGACCGCCCAAGGCCATGCAGCTTTTTTTCGATATGTGGACATCTGCTGATGGAACACACACTCCCTCGAGGACCACACACACACTAGGGCAGCACGATATCATTTAAATAAAGGAAAAATATATGTAAAGGCTGGGTGGTTGAAGGTCAACCTTGAGGGACACTAATTATTTGTGGAGGATAATGCTCTGCATGTGAGTCCACAAAGTAAGCTGTGAGAGGATGATAGATTGTGTGCATGTAGATGTAGGTGTATGTAAACCAGGTTACTTTGAAAAGTCACGTTAGACAGGAAATTACAAAGCTATTTTGGAAGAATAAAATGTATTTTAGTAATACAAGACATTGCTCCTTGTTGTTATTTTTTAGAGCAACCTATATAGACAATATATATAATGGACAGAGCTTCTGTGTCTGGAGTGAAGCCACCATGGAAGTATCTTAAACCTGCATTCTATGTAA